AGTCAGACTGGCGTCTTCAGAGGCCACACCAAGGCTGACCCGCTGGAGGCTTTCTGAGTGAGGACTCGGTAATCTCCAGAAACGAAGTACCGTCCTCACCCTCTCCGGTCTTTGGAGAAAGGAGACAGTTGTTTGAATATTTAACTGAGTAGCAATGAGGCATGTAGTTAGAAGTACTCCAAAAGCCCTGCAAATTCAGCAGTTGTTTCTCTAGAGATAACTTTCTTCCCCCAAAGGGGGAAAGACAAAAATTACATTTTTGCAAGAAAAGAATTAGGCAAAACTTTACATCTATGGGCGGATTACAATTCCCATTATTAAAAATTGATTTTGTCTGGATTTAAACCCTATCATTTTTTTTTCAACAGTTAGCATTGGAGGAAATTTCAATGCTAGCAATATAAATGTTAACTTGAACTAGCCAATAGTTTTAGTGCTTTTTAATAGACTGTTTTTATGGATTTAAGTAGTTTCACTAAACAGACATGTCATAGATGTAGCTCAATTTGGCTTTTTCTTTAACAGTTAAATTTTGTGGTCCTGTGCTCATAATGTTATATACACAAAGTAATGTTAGCAGAATGTATTGAGAAATTTAAAAAATTTGTTCAACGGTGTCCAAATAGGTACGTATTTAAAGTCCTGTTATGGGCTTTCTCCATATTCATTATTAAGAGAATATGATGGTCCCTTCCTCTAAAGTAGCGGTTCTCAACCTGTGGGTCGTGACCCCTTTGGGGGTTGAACGACCCTTTCACAGGGGTCGCCTAAGACCATCGGAAAACACATATATAATTACATATTGTTTTGTGATTAATCACTATGCTTTAATTATGTTCAATTTGTAACAATAAAATTGGGGGTCACCACAACATGAGGAACTGTATTAAAGGGTCGCCGCATTAGGAAGGTTGAGAACCACTGCTCTAAAGATTAATTATGTTAATTATGGAGGTATATCTAATGACCATACAAAAGTTTAATTTAGCTTTGAGTTAGTGAAGATTGAACTTAATTTGGCTTTTAGCAGCCATTAAGTTATCATTAAAACTTGTTGAAAGGAGAAATTGAGTGTGCAAGCTCCCACTCTTTTTCAAAGGTCAGTGTATGACTTTTTCTTCGTGAACTTCTCGCTGACTCCCCAAGGGCTTGCTTGTATCTCCTCTTACATTTGAACTTTGAATATTGTCATATTGTGGTTTAAGTTGGCATCAAACAAGTAGGTATAAACTTGATTCTACATTTACACTGAAAGTCGATAAGATATATTAGTGTTGGTGAAAGCAAAGAGCAAGCACATCCTGGATACCTCTAATCCTATATAGAAACAATAAGTCGACGCTGTTGATGGAGACAGTAAATGTAGGCAAATAGGTCGATAAATAATGAAACTGCTTGGACAGGTGGAACTGAACTAACCAGAACCAGGTGTACATCTCTAGAACACTTAACCATATTTTATGATCTCAAGGGTCGGTCAGACTACCTGTTTCATAGTCTTGTTTCCTATAAGATAACCACTTCAGTTCAAAAAGCACCAATAATACCCACCGGCACAAACTTTGAAATGAATTTCTTGCATGAACAGATGTATAAAACTAGAATAATAGGGTAGATATTTTTATTTTTTTAAAATATATATATTTCAGATTTTTTTATTACAGAGAGGAAGGGAGAGGGATAGATAGTTAGAAACATCGATGAGAGAGAAACATTGATCAGCTGCTTCCTGCACGCCCCCTACTGGGGATATGCCCGAAACCAAGGTACATGTCCTTGACTGGAATCGAACCTGGAACCCTTCAGTCCACAGGCTGACGCTCTATCCACTAAGCCAAACCGGTTAGGGCTGGGTAGATATTTTTAAAAATATTGTAAGTAAGTGAAGATTATGAGACTGAAAATATCCCTTATGCTCATGTAATTGAGTAAAATGTTAAAAATTTCAGAAAAAGCAAGTTTATAATCAATTCATGATCAATATATTCTACATATAACTTTTAAAAATGAAACTGTGAAAAGGTGAAATTTAGTCCAGCTTTTTACCCCTTCTATTTTTAAAAAAAATTTATTTTTACTGTTGTATTACAGATGTCCCCTTTTCTATATTTATTCTGTAATTTATATGGAGCAATACAGAACTACTCCATTATTGCAGAAAGAGGTCAAGATATAAAGTCATTTGAAAATCTACCTTTTCTGTTACCAAAGACAGCAGCTGTTATTTTCTTTTAAGAAAACACCCATGCCAACAATTGCTAGTCAAAGAACATTTTAGGACTTTTACTTTTCACTGTTGTTTAAATATAAATATAAATATATATAATATACTAATATGTAGATATATACAAATTTAATTCTTACAAAAACCTTTTAAAGTATGTGCTATTTTAAAATTATTTTATAACTTTCTGATTATAACAACTAGAAAGTGTCTGAATTGGGATTTGAATCCAGGCACTCTGGTTCCATTGTCACCATTGTTGACCACTATGTAGATGCCTCTCAGTAGAGTAATATAATTTACAGCTAGGGTAATACTATTTATAGCTGGTATAATATAATTTCCAGGTTTGGCTTATATAGCCAATTAGCATTTAGTTGCATTTAGTGAATTATCATTGTACATGTTCTATTTTAATCTTAATACTTTGCAGTTGATTTTAAAGTTGTTGCACAGGATTTATATTGTGGGGTTACTCTTCCATCTAGAAAACCATTCACACTTCAAGAGTCTTCAGATGTTCACTGATGGTCCTTCAACATTTTTCTTTCCTAGAAAAATCAGGTGTCTGCTTCAGTCCTCCAAGCTCCACCCCTAGAATGTGTAGGCAGCTGGGCGGAGCCTAAGCTGAGTCCTCTCCTGTGAAGTCAGCTGGATGTAGCAAGCCTGGTGGAGGAAGAGCTTCCTGGTCTGTGTTCTCTTATGTTTTTTTTGTTGTTGTTGTTGTTGTTGTTTTCTTTTTCATTCTCATTCCTTGCACCTCCCCCCATTCTTGTCCTTAGCTTTTTCTCTGGTAACTTATTTAGCTGCCTCCTCCTGCTGGCACAGTTTGCTCCCTCTTTCGGCCTGACTTCCTCATTTCTCCTTTTCTCTTTTAACTGGAGGGGAAGGTGTGTGTGTGTGTATGTGGAGAATGGAAACGGAAAAGAAATAAGTTTTGTAGAAAACTAAAGAAAATTTTGTGGAATTTGGAAATTGTCCTTGCAAAACGTTCTGCTGAGAAACACCTTTTCCATAATTCCCTTCTTTTAACCTCCGTGGAATTTCCCCCCTCTCCTAAGCTTTTAATACTCTGAACTTCTTTCTCCCCTTTCTCCCTTCACGTCCTTTTAAATGGCTTTGCATATAGGGAAAGCATGAAAATAATTTAAAATTAATTTTGACCTTTTTTGATGAAAGAGTAATTTGAAGAATAGCAGTTAAAATGTGGGGAAAAAACAGGATTAATAGTAAACATTCTTTTAAGAAAGTTTAAGAGCCAACATTAAAATTACATAGCAAGGTGGTGATCACCTTGAATGAATATATTCTTTAAGTAATGTTCCTAATATCCATTCTGACTTTTTAGACAGGTTCAGCATACATAATATAAAGGAGAAAAGAAAAGAGGTAGTTACCATACATTTTAAAGACACCTAGCCTTCGCTCTGACCAGTGTTTCTCAGTGGTTAGAGTGTCTGCCTGTGCATCAAAGGGTTGCAGGTTAGATCCCCAACCCAGGTTGGGGCTCTTGCCGCAGACAATGTGTCTCTTTCATCTCTCTCTCTCTCTCTCTCTCTCCCCCCCGCCTTCTACTCTCTCTAAAATGCAATGGAAAAAATATCCTTGGTTGAGGATTAACAAAAAAAAAAGAGAGAGACCTAGCCTTAAATTAGACTTTAACAAGAGTTTTAAATTATTCATGTATTTTTGAATAGTAATGTGTATCTATCATAGTATAAATTCAAATAGATAAAAAAATAAATAAACAATAAAGTGATATTGTTGAAAGTAAGTCTCCCTTCCTCCCCTGTGTTAGGTAGATCCAAAGAGGCAACCACTGCTGCCACTGGCTTGTTTATGCTTCCTGAGATACTGTATGCATTCACGCAATTAGTCTTCCTTTTTATTAATTGAATATTTACTTTTTTGCACCTTGCTTTTTTTCCACTTAGTATATTTTAGATGTATGTATAGAGGTGCCTCACTTTTTAACAGCTATGTAGTATTTCCTTATATGATATAGTATATTTTCTGTATCAGTCCTCTACTGATGGGTATTTAAATTGCTTACAACATTTTGTTATTCTAAACAACGTTGCAGTGAATATTTTTACACTTATGTTACTTTGAATATGTGCAGGTCTAATAACTTCTAGAACTAGAATTTTTGAGTCAAAGGACATTTGCATTTTTTATTTAGATAGCTATTGAGGGGTTGCCCTTGACAAAGGCCGTGCCAGTTATGCCCCAACAGCAGAGTGTGATTGCTTCTCAGTGTCCTCATTAGCATGTTATCAAACTTTCCGATCCTTGAAAATCTAAGTGAAGAATAGTAATTTATTTTTTTATTTTGCATTTCTTTAAAAACAATTTATTGATTGATTTCAGAGAGAGAAAGTGGAGGGGGATAGAGAAAGAGAGCAAGACAGAGAGACATTGATTTGGTGTTTTTATTTATGCATTCATTAGTTGCTTCTTGTATGTACCCTGACCGGAGATTGAACCCTCAACCTTGATGTCTCAGGTCAACACGCTACACTTTAACTAACATGCTACACACTAACCAACTTCTATCATTATAAGTGAAGTTGAACATTCTGCATTTTCTTTCTGTGGATTAGCTGTTCATATCTCTACCCATTTTTCTGTTGGGATTTTGGTCTTCTCCTTATTGACTTGTAGGAGCCCTTTAAAGATTAAATAAATTAGTTATTTGTCTGAAATATGAGTTGTAGATATTTTTCTCCAGACTATGTTTTGATTTTGAAATGGTGAGGGTTTTATTTTTTAGTGGGGATAGGCAGACTTCTGCTTTTAAGCCAAATGTATCTATCATTTTTTTTTTGTTTATATGTTCTGGATTTGGGGTTATATTTTAAAAGGCTTTTTCTACTATTGTCTTTTTTAAAATCCTCCCACTTTTTTCTTTCTTGTTTTTATATGGCTTGATTTTTATCTTTAAATCTTTGATTCATTTGAAACTTAGTTTGGTGTAGGGACCTAACTTTATTTCATTGGTCTGCAAAAATGAACCAATTGATAATGGACCTGGTTGATTAGCTCGACTCCCCATAGAAGTCTTTCTTATACTTTACTTCCCTAGCACCTGGCATGGTGCCTGAAAAAACTGTAAGTAGCTAATGAATCTTTGATAAACTAAATTGAAAGGAAATTTCTCGATATATCATCTCAGTTATCTGTCATTTTGGTATGTAGTGTTGAAAGAGAAAATGATACCACTAACACAGTTGATTTCTCCTTCATAAAACCTTAGAGTCATGAAATTTTAGATCCAGAGACTAGAACAATTATTCACTCAACAAATAACTGAGTTCCTGTTACAGGCATTCTATATGGGAAAGCAGAGACACTAAACAAGTAGGTCATGTGGTTTAAGTGCTGTGAGTCAAAATGGAGCAGTGCAGGGGCAATAGAGAATGACAGGGAGTCCAGTGCTACTGGAAGCACACCAACCTGTACTGAAAAAGTGCATTGACTATTTAATTGTCTGGGTACATGTGCAAACAAGAAATTGAAAGGTGGTGGAGGTTAAGCCTCAGGAGACAGTCTTGGGTATCCCCAGGGAGTTGAAGAGATAATCATTTGTCTCTTTCTGGGTCCATGCTATATTTAGATTAGACTGTAAACTAGTTGGCAAGACTGTAATTGTTAGGGTAATTTTACTATCAATATTATGCATGGTTGGACTGACACGAGTGTTCTCTAAGCAGATTAACAAATTTGTTGTTCAGATAAGAAAATAATGTAATTTTATGCAATTAAAGCCAAAACTATATTCTACCCTTGGTCATGTCAGCCATGACTCTCCTCCCTGATGGTGGAAGTCTAGTCAATATTTCTGGCAGTAATTTTCAAACAATGCTCAAAAAAAAAAAACACACAAAAAACTTAGGGGAAAAGGCATAAGGAACTGGTAGAAAGACTTGAGGTACCACTGTCTTGTACTCTTTGCTTTTATCTTTTAATCTCTTATCCTTCAGGTGAGATTAGATTTGGAAGTAATTTGAAATCTGACCACCATGTGTGCATGGAAGTGACAAGCCACTTTTAGGAGCTCATCACTGAATATGGCAATTAGAGATAGAGATGATTGTCTGAAAGAGCTGGAAGTTGAAAATTTTCTAGTGGAAACCCATTGAATAGAATCGGGGACCCTTTAATGTGTGCAGCATTTTGTGAATATGATGTTTGTATGGAGAATGAGTAAATCTACTAACATTTCTTAGTCGCTGAGCTATGTTTTGCCAGGATTGTCAAATTCCAAGTTAGGAAAATAGCATGTTCCCTCAGTATATTGCCACCAGAATCAGCTTTAATGAGCATTTCTAATATCTTGATTTATTCTTATTTCTTCCTATATGCAATAAGAAGATACTTACCAAAATTTGGGGTAGAGGATATAGATTTATTTTTGAAGAAGGTATCTAGATATTTTAACTAAAGAAAATAAATGTATTATTAATGTTTTATTCCATGCAGGTCAGGACTAAAGTCCACATAAATCAGGATCAATTTATATTTATAGTCTTATCACTCACTGAGCTTATTTCAATATAAATTGTTAAACTTATCCTTTTCTAATATGCTTTTACTTGCAAATGGGTTGTAATACCAGAACTACTTTTTAATTTTAGAGTTTATCTCCCATTGACTCCCTCCAACCTCTCCCCCCCACCCTTGCCCCAGGTCTTCAGCACCCTATTGTATGTGTTCATGGGTTATGCATATATGCATACAAAGTCATTGGTTGACTACCTCCCCCCCCTCACCTTCCCCCCCACCTTCCCTCGGAGATTCCACACTCTGTTCCATGCTTCCAGTGTTTATTGCTTTTAGAGAGAGAGGAAGGGAGAGAGGGGGAGAGATAGAGATAGAGATAGAGACAGAGGACACTGATGTGAAAGAAACATCTATTGGTTGCCACCATATGCACCTGACTGGGTGTAGAAACTGCAACCTAGGTATGTGCCCTGACTGGAAATGGAACCTGCAACCTTTTGGTGTATGGGATGATGCTCCAACAACTGAGCCTGGCCAGGGCACTACATACTTCAGAAAAAGGTTTTCAGAGATGTTGGATTCCTTATGTGACACAGAGCTTATATATTTGGATCTTCCAATGCTTGACACATAGCTAGTACTCCATACACATTCAATGAAATAAATGTATTGAAAATTTAGTACTTTACTACTTGCAATAAAAATAACATATGAAATAAGGAAATGCCTTCAAAGATTTCAGGTATATAAATTTCAGTGTGAAAATATCATCATTTACTAATCAAGATTCTCCTCTGAACATGGCATATGAATCTAGTATAATTTGGAGAATTCACTACCCTTAAAATAAGGTTTTCATCTACCTCCAGATTCCTAAAATGACTCCATCTGGGTAAACATGGCTGGCATTGTTTCAATTTCTTGATTTGCCTGCTATGTGACCTTCAACAAGTCAGTTTCTCCTTTTGTATTGAGGATAATAATAGTTCATCTGCTAGTTTCTAGTGAAATTAAATCAGATAATGTTTATAAAATGCCCAATTTGTAGTTTTCAACAATATGTAATTTTATTAATATAATAATGTGTCCTTCCATTTAATCTTTGGAAAAACAGTATAAAATGCAAATACTGCTTGTGTCACTTTTTGATATTTCAAGTGTTAAATGACCAAAGTGCTTGATTAATCTCTTTTCACCCTTAGAAAAATGGAAAAAGAATCTGTCAGCATTTAAACTTTGAAATAGACTAAGAAGCCCAGCTATTAGCAGGCTCAGAGGTTGAGAGCTGACCCAGGAACCAAGAGGTCACAGGTTCAATTCCCCGTCAGGGCACATGCCCACATTGCGGGCTTGATCCCCATAGGGGACATGCAGGAAGCAGCCAGTCAATGATGTTTCTCTCTCGTGGATGTTTCTATCTCTCTATCCCTCCCCCTTCCTCTCTCTCTAAAATCAATAAAAACACATTTAAATTTTTTTGAAATAGATTAAGAAAATCTATACCCTGAGAACAAGGAAGACAATATTAAAGTTTACTAACCTTCAAGTAGTTGGAGTCCCCTTCCCCCCCCAAAAAAAACAGAGTTTTAACCAAAAGAATAGGTACTAACAGAAATGCTTCTGCTGAATGATAGAATATTTTATTCAAATTGAATTTTATTTTAAAGATCTTGGTTCTCAAGGGACCCAATAGTTTAGACACCTGCACATTTTACAGTAAATGACAAAGAATGGCATAAAAACTCATAATGCTTATAGTTGTTAAGTACATGAACAGTTTCTGCAGTGGGCTTAATTACAGTTGTAAAAAGAAACAATTTTGGGTCTAGACTTAAAGTCTCAAAGCTTTTTGGGTCCAACTACCTATTTTATGGTAAAACTCAGTGTCCATTATTTTGCCATAGCACAAATGGCCTTTGGACTCTCAGAACCCTCTTCTCGTCACGCTGCTGTCGTCCTGCTGGCTTATTGGAAATTTTCACTTCATTTCTGACTAAAGAAAACATTTCTATATTGTTAAAGAGTTTGTTTTAATATGTCTTTTTTTTCTTTAGTGTCTAAAGATGGATTTTAAAATTGAACACACTTGGGATGGTTCTCCAGTGACGCATGAACCAGTGTTTGTCAGGCTGAACCCAGGTGATGGAGGAGTGATGTTGAAAGTTAGTGCTCCATTTTTCAATGATCCTCCAGCCCCGCTTGGAGAACCAGGAAAGCCTTTCAAGGGACTGTGGGATTATGAAGGTAAGTGGAAGTACGGTGTTTTATTGCAGACATAAATCTTTTTATAATAACCTCTCACAGAGCTATTATTTTATCTTGCTGTAAGGAAGTGAGTGCTTCTGAGCAACTGACATATGCAGTGTGTGATATTTCCTACCAATCTCTCATTCTGACTTTTTCACCATTACCTATGCGACTTTAACTCTATAACTAGAACAGTGAAAAATGGCAATTACAAATCCAGACTTCCAAATTGCTGCCATATGTCCTTCCTTTACTTCTGTTACCTAGTCTGAGAAGAGTTCAGCATTCTTGTTTTGTCTTCAGATTGCCACTTTAACCTTATAAACTTTCTTGATGGAAGTTTTAGGGTGTTTTACTTATTATAGAAACACTATCAACTTCAATATGAAATGTAGTTTTTATTTTATATGTACTGACAAGTAATCTCACATATCAAACGAAGGTTAAAAGACACCATAAAATTACACTTTCAGGTTTGCTATATGATTCCCGTCTAATGTCTCCTAATTAAGCTACCAAACTTATCTTTGTAAAAAGACTCTTTATGATGCCATTCCCCAGGTCACAAGCCATTACTATTCCTGAGATAAAGTTCAAATCCTTCCTTTAAACTTTCTGGGGACTCATGAATGGGGCTATCATATTCAACCAAAACCTCTTGATTTCTAAAAGGCTACTATCCATGCACATTCTCACCCATGTACCTTTTCTCATTCTATTCCTTCTGCGTCTAATGCACATAGTCTAAATCAAGTTCCATTTATTCAAAGAAACCTTTTTTTTAAAATTGATTTTAGAGAGGGTTGGGGAAAGAGAGAAAGAGAAACAGCCATGTGAGAGAGACACAGTGTTCAGTTGCCTCTCGAATGCACCCTGACCGGGGATTGAACCCACAACCTAGGTATGTGCCCTGACTGGAAATTGAACCCGTGACCAGGTATATGCCCTGACCTGGGATTGAACCCATGTCCTTCCAGTGCACAGGACAGCACTCCAACCAACTGAGCCATATCGTCCAGGGCCAAAGAAACCTTGGATGATTCTTCTAGTCCCTACTAACATCTACTTTATACCATCTGTATGCCATGCATTTTGTCAAGATTAATTTATAAAATGTTAACCATATGTTGTCTATTACTGATACAGAGCTTATATATATCAGCTTCCCATTGGTGTACACACCAGTGGGACTTATCTACTCAACAAGTCCCAAACTCAACTTATCCACTTTTCTCATAAACCTGCTCTTTCCCTAATTGCCCAGTCTCAATCAATGGCAGTCAAATACATCAAATCACTGAACATAGAAATGTGAATTTTTTCGAAGATATTCTCTCTCACTCTCTATGTTTGGATTTATCTACTAAGTCCTACCAATTTTCCCTCCTAAATGTTTCTCTATTTCAGTACCCCTTCTTCATTTCCATCATCTCTTTATCATCTTTTACCTCAAATAGGACAGAGACTTCTAAATAGTCTTTGCCCTTAAGTTTATCCTTCTCTATTGAAAGCCAGAGTGATCTATCAATAGGGGAACAAGGGGACCTCTGTAATACTTTCAACAATAAAGATACATTTAAAAAGAAAAATTTAAAGTCATCATTCAGCTACTTAAAAACCTTCTCAGGCTTCTGCTCCTCCCCAGATAAGTTCTTCTTAATATGATTTCTATATAAGATTTTTCATGACCCTGGCCCCTTATTCTCTTTGCAGCATTGAAAGGTTTACTTATTTGCTGATTTGGTTATTGCTCTGTAGCCTACTTGTCAAATATCATGGATATGTTTTCATATCAAAAAATATTTAACTGTCTTTGATTTTAATGGTTCCATACATAGAATACATAAATTCCATAATTTATATGGTAGCTTTCCTATATAATAGAAGATTTATTTATATAATAGGCAATGATCCTATATAATAGGAGATAACCATTTAGGTAATATCTAATTTTTGAGCAATACTTTGATGACTAGCATTATATTTACTTATTTTTCTAGTTGTCTGATTATTTCCTTAAGATAGATTATCAGAAAAAGATAATTGGCCTAAAGTCTATATGATAATGTTGATTTCTTTACAACCTCACCAGCACTAGGCTTTACTCATCTTTTTAATTTATGGCAATCTGATATGGAAAAATTTGATGGTGATTTATTTCTAAGCAATGTCTATTTATTTTCTTTGTCCCTTTCCCTACTGAGGATACAGCTATAATTAAAAATAATGAGTTAATTTATTTTATACTCTAAAGGAATAAATAAATAATTTTTGTTGAAGCATAATTAAATTCTCAATATTTTATATCTCTGTTTTCAAAAGTTGTAGAAGCATTTTTCTTGAATGACATAACTGAACAGTACTTAGAAGTTGAACTTTGCCCGTAAGTATAAAATTTTTTTTTCTAACTCATTACTATATTACTTGAACACATTGTTTTCTAAGTATAAATCATGTGGTCATAGTAAAAATTTACTAATTTCAATAAACTAGGGCAAATGCCAATCTGAACCATGTATAATTTCTTATTTTCAAATAACTGTGTAATTTAAAATGTATGTTTAAAACAGGTTTGGCAAAAGTAGGTTTAAAGTTGTGAGTATACAAAACAGAGTTTATTTTTATATTATTATTTATTAATTATTGTATTATTTCCCATACAAACAATTGTAAGCCTACTTTTGTCACACTCTGTATATATTACAGATATTTGAAAATAGTACGTTGATGTTATTTTCATTTTACGATGTAGTTGGTCTTTTTAATAAATTTGAAAATAATTTTTTTTGCAAATGAATATTATAATAAAACAGAAACTCATTATTTATTCTATAAATTGGCATTATGTCCTAGCTACTCAGAAATAGAGACGTATAGATATAATAAATTAAACTAATTTATGAAAATGTTTCTTTTAGGAAATTTTTTAAATAACTACATTACACTTTCATTTTATGTATTTGTTAATAATGTATTCACGTGTTTCTTCATTTATTCCTCATTTTTTTAAATTTAAATTCTTTATTGTTTAAAGTATTAAATGAGTCTCCTTTCCCCCCCATTGACCTCTCCCTGGCCACCCCCATCCCCCAGCACAAGCCCTCACGCCCCTACTGTCTGTGTCCATTGGTTATGCTCATGTGCATGTGTACAAGTCCTTTGGTTGATTTCTTACCCCCTCACCCCCCGCCTTCCCTCATAGGCTGTACAGTAGTCCTCATTTATTTATTGAGTGTGTACTATGTCACTTTGTGTTCAGTGCCAGGGATAAATCACACATGGTTTTTGCTAGACTTATTTAAAGTGTTAACCTTGGACTCTCTTTGTTCAAATTTAACCATTCCTTTGGTAACCTTCTTTACCTAGTTGACAATATTTGTCCTGTAGATATGAAAAAATGAATTTATGCCCACCTCTCATCTATATTATAACAAATTTTAAGTTAGTAAAATATTGAGTAATGAATATTTTTTTTGTATTGTGATTATCCTTTTAAATGGCATTTAAATGTCTTTCAGTATCTAGTATCCATTAGCCTTTGTCCCTTTGTAGGCTGGGCAGAAGTTCCAAACAATCAATTTAAACAAAATTTTAGGTATCATTTTCTTTTCCCTTAATTTGATTTTTTCGCTAACTCTAATGTGGAAAATGTAGCTGTTTCCAATTATATTTTTCAGAGGAATAACCTAGTATCTTTGTATGTTACCTTTCAACTAACATGCCAAAATATTTTATTGAAAAATATGATTGTCATAAACTGTCACATGAGTAAAAAAAATATTCATCCATTGTGTGATTATTTTCACCATACAGGTGAGAAAGCTAAGGCAAATAGATTTATAACTTGTCTACAAGACAGTAAAAAACTTGGATCTACTAGAATTCTAAAGTTTCATTCTTGGTTTTACTTTTATTAGATAAAAATACCAGTTTATTTTCATAAAGAGATTACTTAGCACTGGATGAATAGGATAATTAGATTCTCTTTTGTTAAGATATTACATAATAACTATTATGTACAAAATTAATAAGTTCTAAAAATTTAAAAAATCCTTAAAGTAGTTTGGTTTCATATATATCAGGACAATCAATAATCAAGAATCAAGGTTTTGCTTCAGGCAATCAATTCCTGTAACAATTAGTCTCTAGGAAAACAATGTGAAGAATATTATTGTTTTCATTTACAAGAACTTTTACTTCTCCTAGGATATTATTAAGCTTGCATCATAACAATAAAAATAAGCAGAGGAAAGAATACTTGTCATGTGTTAGAATAGTTTTCGGAAGGAAATCCTCCCTGAAAAGCTTACAATAGACTATCTGGATAGAAGTGTTTAGATATAGTCTTTTCCAGAGACAATAAATTTCTTTCATGTAACTACTCGAAAATCTTTGATTCTTATTGACCCGGCTAGTCCCAATTATGCTCTTTTATTAGACTTTCCTTTTGAGGATATGTTGTGTTTCTCTTTGAAAATGTGACATTGGTGTCTGAACTAATGGTAGAAAGCAGGAAAACACAAGAGGCAGACAGATACAGTTTTAGACAACCTATATTTTATATTTTCTTTATTCCTCATGAGCTTCAATACAGTTTTCTTATAGAAATAACCTTTAGTAAAGTTGTTGGATTCACCTGGAAATTGGTGCCAGCTTCTCTTAGGGTACTTTTGTTTTTGAAACTAGTTTTATTATAAACTAGAGGCCGGCCCAATGCACGAAATTCGTGCAAGAATAGGCCTTTTTTCCCCAACCTATCAGCACCGGCTTCCCTCTGGCACCTGAGACTCGGGCTTCCCCCAAAGCCCCAGCTTCCTCTGGAAGGACTCTGGTCTAATTAGCATATTGCGCTTTTATTATTATAGATGCCAAATACTATAATATCCCCCACCCCTTTGCTGAGTTTTCATCTTCTGACTGAAATCTTTTATATAATTTTATATTTAAATAATATAAAAAGCAATCTGAACATGTGTAGCTTTTTAAAAATATATATATTTTATTGATTTTCTACAGAGAGGAAGGGAGAGGGATAGAGAGTTAGAAACATCAATGAGAGAGAAACATCAATCAGCTGCCTCCTGCACACCTTCTACTGGGGATGAGCCCACAACCAAGGTACATGCCCTTGCCCAGAATTGAACCTGGGACCCTTCCATCCGCAGGCTGACGCTCTATCATAAGTCTTTGTTTTAATATGGTTGCAAATATAAAAAAATTTCTATATGTGACATGGCACCAGAGTTAAGGTAGGGTTTTTCAAAATGCTGACACGCCGAGCTCAAAAGGTTCGCCATCACTGGGTTAGGGCCATGTGTAGCTTTTGACTATAATCATCTGGAAAATGATGGCATTTCTAAGTAACTGAACACTGGCTCTTCCTATAATTATCCAGTATTCAATTTGCATCTTTTTTTTTTAATTGATTTCAGAGAGGAAGGGAGAGGGAGAGAGAGATAGAAACATCAGTGATGATAGCGAGTCATTGATTAGCTGCCTCGTGCACGCCCCCTACTTGGGACCAAGCCCTCAACCTGAGCATGCGCTCTTGACCGGAATCGAACCTGGGACCTTTTAGTCCACAGGCCGACACTGTATCCACTGAGCCAAACTGGCTAGGGCCATCTTTTGATTATTTGGAAATTTAGTTACATACATTGCAGATATAAAGAATAGTGAAGAAAATAATGTTTGTTTCTTTCATACACTCATGAGGAATTTTAATTTCCACAGCCATGGACAACATTTGGTGCTTTTATTATCTGGAAGAAGAAATGTGTGGAAAGTAAGTAAATAAAAATATGAGACAAAGTTCTTAAGTGTATAAGATCTATGTATACATTATAATATTTAATATATATGTTTAACTTATAAATCTGAATTTACCTTTTATATTTCACATATCATTTCTGTAGCAAGAACTTGCTCTATCATTCGAAGTGTCCAGAGGAGAGACAAAATGGGAAGGCAGAGCTTATCTTCCTTGGAGTTATTTTCCACCAAACGTGACAAAATTCAATTCATTTGCAATTCATGGATCTAAAGATAAAAGAATCTATGAAGCTCTTTACCCTGTACCTCAGCATGAACTGCAACCAGGACAAAAACCTGATTTGTAAGTAGAAAATGAATGAAGATATGTTCCAACTGTGAGGGGTTTTTTGGAAATTAATTTTTGGTAGAGCAGTGATAACATTTTTCAGTCAAAGGAGACATGTGTACAAGCACCTAGTAGGGTACTGTGTTCCCTGATGGTTCTTAGTAAATACTTGACAGACTGTAGACCCGCTTAGTCTCTCTCACTGCTATAAGTACAGCACTTATGTTTCCATGGCAATATGAGAAAAATCTTGCTTAGTGAATATTGCAACAGCTGTTATAGAAGTATTGTTACAAACTCATTTATCATCCCTTTCAGAGCTGACTGGCCAGAGACATTCAGATTCAAAGGGTTAATAAATTCTTTCCCTTGCTGCTTGAGAATATCACCTTCAATTAACTCTCTAGCTGTCTTCCCTTAGTAACCTTATAAGGATAAAAATGTCAACTAGGTTTCTGGGCAACATAACTTATAACAAAGATGACTCCTTATTGCTAAATTTCATCTGGACAGATAGTTTTATGAATAAATTATAAATACCTGACGGGGACAGCATTGCTTTGGATTTCCCTTTAACAGTCATATTCTCTGTGGAGACCCTAGAAGCTATGCCTGTGGACTTATTACAAGAGATATTGGCCCCTGTGGGCACCAGGCATGTAAGCCCAGGTATCTCCTACACTTGCCCAATTTGAGTCGTATCTCTTTGAAGCTGTCACCTAAGGAGAATATAGCTCCTGTCCAGCCATATGAACGCCTCATGGATTGCAGCAAGCTTTACTCCCTTGGGAAAGCCAGATTCTGTCCTAGGGCAAGCTGGGATTCCTGCTCTCTAGCTCTCTGAGTGTACTCAGTGTGGCCAAGACAGCTGGCGAGTGTGTGTGTTCAGAAGAGCTAACAGACAATTGAGGACCTTTCACAGAGTGATAGGAAAGCATTCTGGAGACCCATGTATGGGAGGATGAGAAGCAGTGGTAAGATTTATTGTAGAAGCAAAATCAAAGGACTGCCCTGGATTCAGCTCTGTCCCGCTGTGAAAGAAGTCCAGCCTTGTCTTCATCAAGTCAAGAGCAAAGGCCAGTGCCCATGAATTCTGTGCCATTGGTTCAGTCAAGTTCAGTCCCTGTCCTCACTGACTCGCTTAGTCTGTGTTCCCAGCTGTGCTCTGGCTGGCGCTGTGCCATGGTCACCATCTTGGTCTCTATTGGGCAAGCGCTTACCTCCCCCAGCACCATCTTGGCTTCTACTGGGCATGTGTCCAGCAGAGGAATTTCTCCAGCTGTTTTTCTTCTTCCCCTAGTAATGACCAATAATGGACCTTCCTGTCCTCTTCAGGGATTAGGCCCCGATACAGCAGGCCCCTGGGGAGCCTGTGAATGTTCAACCTCCTACTGAAGCAGGCTCAGTGTCCGATTCAGCTTCCTAGTTTATTATACTTAATAATGTCTGATTCCTTTGCTCCCTTCCTTTATTAATATCTAGCTATCTTTGCTAACACTCGTGGACTTTGCACCATGGCGGACTGACTCTCCTGTCATTTTACCCCTGAAAATGCTGTCCTTCATTTCCCTGTTTGCCTTCTCCTTCCTGTCATACTCTTTCTTCACTCACTTTGCCTTCATCTCTTCTAGCCTATTCCTTTTTTTCTGCCTGACACACTTTGCGCTCTTTCCTCTTTTCTCCCCAGTCCTGACACTTCCTAACTAGCCTCCCTTCTTTTCTCTTAACCTTCACTGTTGGTTCCTGAACCTCTTCATCTGGGATTGACAGTTGAGACTCAAACTGGTTCAGTCTGGCCAGGTAAGCAGAATGGGCCCAGGATCTAAATGCAAGTGACTCAGGGCCCTTATATCAAGATGGCTTGTTTCTCTGGCTCTTTACCAGCTAATATCTTCTTATATTTTATCCCCTTAGTGCTATAATATGTTCGACTCCTCAATGTATTTGTTATTGGAGGCTTACCCTAGGTAAAAGTGCGACTATGCCGTTGGCCAGGGCCCAGCCAAGGCAGTGATCCGCTGCAGAGCTGAGTTCCACTGCAGCATGTTAGCTAAACCTTTCTCTGCCAATTAAACCACAATAGAAATCTCCATAATAGTTAAAGGACGTTCCCAGGAAGAAAAGAGCTAGGATTAACACTCTTTCAACCTCCTTTGCTTGGGCAAAGGAGTCTATCCTCTTATCTATGGAGCTGAAACTTCTAAAATAGTAGTTTAGAAGTTTAGAAACTTCTAAAATATAAAGTATGTCAAAGTTTAAATGTAAAAACATCTGTAAAAATATAATATGATTTGTTTAAGGCTAAATGAAATGAGTCAGGTTTTGAGGATACATTTTAAGTGCTTTGGGATGTGGGTGAATGTTTTCAGAGCTTAATGTTTGAGAGCTAGAGTGAGAAAATTATACATACAGAATATATCTTACCTTTGGTGTTCTTAAAATAGAATGTTGTCCTATCACAGATGTGACAGAATGAATAGCCTTTCAGGTCACCTATTTTTCAAACGCATAATTTATTTCAATTCCCACCTTCTTTTTCTTTCCATTTAGCCACCGTCTGGAATACTTCAAGCCTTTCAGTTTTAACACACTGCTTGGAGAAGAATGGAAACAACCAGAATCTGACCTGTGGCTAACAGAGAAACCTGATGTATAGGAGTATAGTAGATGACCATATCAATCATTTCTTCTCTATACTTTTTAAGGTAAATCATCCTATATAATAAAAGCGTAGTATGCAAATTGTCCCCTCGACAGGGAGTTGTCTGGGAGGTCAACCAGGGGGCGGGGCCGGCCAGGGGAAGGGAGGGAGGCCCCGGCCAGCAGCCAGCAGCCGCTAGGGACCCTACCAGTGCATAAATTTCGTGCACTGGGCCTCTAGTAATAAATATAACCTCTTTCAAGTATAATGTGAAAACATTTCAACAATAAATATTTTCATAAAGGTCAATGAAAATATAGTATTTCTCTGACAAATTTTGTGTAAATTAACAAGAAAATGGAAAGTTTGTAGATTATTATATCTATAAAGTTAAAATTTTTCTTACAGTCATTTAGTCCAGGAGCCACAGTGTCAATGAATTCTGTCATCTGCTTCACATCATCCTTACACTAAATATCCCTGACTCTGTCAATCAAATCATTATTTCTCTTCTCACTTCCCTAAACCTTAGCTAGCCTGAGATAGGAAAATCTTATTTTCACATTTTTGAACTCCATGTACATTAATTCTTTACTCAGAATCTTTTGTCCATTCTTGAACTGGGTAGAAAACAAGGATATATTTCAGTTGAACAGGAAATCCACATCTGTTAAGGCATCATTAAGATACATGTGTTATTTAAATTAGCTATTTTTCCTGTCTTATGACTATTTTTACTTTGTAGAAGAAATGGAATTCAGATAACAGCTCTGCTTTTATTTATAAAGAAATGCCATTTTCTGAATGCTAGTAAACCATGTGTTGAATGTACTCATTTTGTAAACATCAAAACATCATGGTCTACAAATTTTAAAATTTCTGTTATTACATATTTCAGAGCTAGAAGCAATCTAGTAAATCATTTATGAACTTCTCTACCTGTTCCTTCTCCAGCATTCTAAACTTAAATAATTAGCAGTTTTGCAGAAGAAACTTTAAAAAGAGAAATCTTTATTGTTGAAAGTATTACATATATCCCCTTCTTCCCCCCAATTGACCCCTTCTAATCCAACCCTGCCTCCCACCCCAGGCCTTCACTACACTATTGTCAGTGTCTATGGGTTATGAATATATGCATACAAGTTCTTTGGTTGATCTCTAGAAACTTTATTACTTATGCAGATACCTAGTTCCTACCCACTACATACGTTCTCCTGTTCTTTACTGACAGTACATTAATTTTTAGGGGCTCTACTCAAAAACTACATTTTCCCAGATGCCTTTGCAGATAGAAATGACTCTATAAAACAGTTCACATCAATGAGATATGAGTATATAGTATCCTGTGGGGCTTAAAGAAAAGATGCTTTAAAGATGAAAGACTCAGCTGCCATACACATTTTGTCCTTCGCCCTCCCCTTCCTTTTTCCTGAGTTGCAGAATGAATCCCTGAGGTAACACACTAGCTTCATTGTGTCAGCAAGGAGCCAACCCAGGAATAGGTAGTTGAGTAGAAAGACAAAGGAGCCTGGGTTCTGAACTATGCAATAGAGTAATCTATCTGGACTATCCAGCTATATAGGAGAGAATAAATGTCTAATTTGTTTTCCCCAAAGTGATTTATTGATTCACTGCAATCCAAGTTTAAAATCCTAGAAGGCTTTTTGGGGATAGAAATTGACAAGATGATTCAAATTTTGTGTGGAAATGCCAAAACAGTTTTGAAACACAATGAAGTTGGAAGACATATACTAACTGAATCAAGACTTGTTACTAATCTTCAATAGTGAAGACAGTATGACCTTGGCATAAATTTAGACAAATATATCAATGGAACAGAATAGAGAAACCAGGAAGAGAACTATGTAGAGTCAGTTGACTTGTGACAAAGGTGCCAATGCATTTAAGAGGGAAAGGATAGTCTTTTCAACAAATGGTGTTGGAATAACTGGGAAAAATATGAAAAAAAAAATGAACCTTGACCTCTAACATACTCCAAAAGAAAAAAAAATGAACCTAAATGTAACTGGTAAAATAAAAAATTCTGGGAGAAAATCTTCACAATCTGCAGGAAACAAATTTCAAATAGGACATAAAAAGCACTCACTAAAATAGAAAAAAAAACAAATAAATTGGACTTTATCAAAATTAAACGCTTCTCATCAAAAGCCTTCAGTGAGAATGTGAAAAAGCAAGCCAAAATTGGATAAAATATTCAAAATACACGTATCTGCCAGAGGACTCTTACCTAGAATATGTAAAGAACAGTATCAGTAATAAAAAGACAAGCCAGTTAAGGAGCAAAAGAGTTGAACAGACACTTCCCAGAGGAAAGCATACAAAAGGCCAATCAGTATATAGAAAGGCTCTCAACCGCACTTATCAAAGAAATGTGAATTAAAACCACAGGAAGATGCTACTGAATGACTAAAATTACAAAATACGCAATGGCTAACTGGCTAAAAAAAACAAAACAAAAACAAAAAAACCACCAAAAAACAAAACAACAACCCTGAAAATGAGAACATGGAGTAACTGGAATTTTTCAACATTGTGGGTAGGAATGTAAGTGGTACAACCACTTGGGCACTCTTTGGCAATTTCTAGTATAGTTAAATACATTCCTACCCTATGATTGAGCAGTTTCATTCTTAGATATATACTCAAGAAAAATGAATGTTCTTAGCAGCTTTATTCATAACAGCGCCAAACTGTAGACAATCTCAAATTTCCATCCCCAGGAGAATGGATAATCTGATAGAGTCAGACAATGGAATACTACTGGTAAAAAAGAATGGCCTGTTGATGCATGCAAAAACCTAGATGAATCTGAAAAGCATTATGCTGAGAAAAATAAATCAGAGAGAATATACTGTATAACTATTTTTATGTGAAGGCCAATTATACACAAAACTAGGCTATCCTGAATCAGAACCACAGCTGTTCTGCATAAGGGCAAGGGATTCAAATGACCTGGAAAAGGGGCATGAGGGAATTTTCTGGGTTGAAATGTTTTGTGTTTTGATCTGGATGATGGTATATACCTGCATACATTTGTCAACATTCCTC